TTAACTAACAAGAGTGATAAGAGTAGACCTTATTATTATTGAAAATCTCAAAACATGTAATTTTATTCTATCCAAAGAATTTTTAAAGAATGTTTTTTTTTATTTAACAAATCATATGATATGCAATGGTTATGAATGAATGAATGTAGGATTTTTTTTCTTTTAAGAAAAATAGCTCAATTTCCACATACTCGCATTCTTTTTGACAACTACTTAGCTAAATCATGGGTAACTAAAGCTTCATTGTCGTTTTAACATTAGCAAGCTATGAGTTGTTCGCTATCTTAGCAATCTCAAAGATGACTTCAACGAAGAAATAGACTTTATTGATAATGCAAAGTAATAGGTCAACATTGATTTTCATAGTCTCGTGCACTCATGATTCTAGTACTTCATGTGTGGACCATCTTCCTTTGAAAACCTTAGCCATCCTACCTTCATTAAAACTTGCACTTTATGCTTAAGTGAAGTACAGTTCTCAGTTGAATGACCTACATGCCCTACATGATAATCGCCACGGACTCGTGGGTTGTACCACTTTGGATAAAGTGGTTGTAATGGCTCTACAGATACAGAAGCTAATAGATTACCTTGAAATAATTGAGATAACAACTCAGTATAGGATATTTGGATCGGATGAAAGCTCTCTTGCTTTAGTTGTATCCGACTACTATGATTGTCTGGTAACGTTTGCGATCTTAGTTGTGGGTCATACTGCAGAGCCAACGAGTTTATAGGTACCATAGAAGAATTGTATATCGTAAATCCTTGTTGGTGCCTCCAGTTACGCTTCGAGATTAATGTTCGGACTTTATTTTTCTTTTTAATAGAGCTTTTATTCGTTTCAGGATGTGGCTCTTTATTAATTAAAGGCACTGACAGTTGTTCTTTTGCTTCTCCCCATCTTTAAGTATATTCTTTCCATGCAGCATCTTTTCCTATCCCTGCTCAGCATGGGTCATACCTATGTCATGCTTGTATTGATCTATAAAAGAAATTTCCTCAGTTTCTTCAGCATTTTCATTGGTAATATTATCTTTTTCTTTACCCTTTGAATTATCTGAGTAATTGACCTTTGATGTTTGTCCATCTTGGAATGTAAATTCAACCTGACAGATTGTAGGAGCTTGTTGACCTTTCTTGGAAAGCTGAGTGTCATGTGACGAACTGTGCTGGGGGAAGGCCTTTGTTGATTGACAAAGAGGTGGGTCCACACTAGGTAATGAATTATTATGAGGTTCAACTAAATTGTTAGGTTGAGAAATGTCCACAACTGTAACAATATTCTTTAAGACATTGAAAATTTATGTGACTTGCCCCTGAATCTTATCGATGTTTTGTCTTATCTTCTTTAGCGCTGCATTCTGCACCTCCATGACATGTTCTTGAATCTCGTCTCTTATTTTCTTTAGCTCAGCATTCAATTCTTCCATGACCCGTTCGTGGATTTCGTATCTAATTTTCTTTCGCTCAGTATTAAATTCTTCAATGTTATGCTGCTTTATGTACCTTGTATATAAAGAATGTAAATATGTGGTTCTTGAGCTATTTTTCTAAGAGTTCGTGTAAATTATGACGTAATGGAGAATGCATAAATTTTGATTTTTTAAGATATAAATTGATATGCATGACATAATGTAATGCAAATTTTGAATCACAAATTAAGGGAAATTTTAAATAATTATGAACATGTGAAATGATGCATGCATAAGGTGATATTTTTTAATTTATGCTATGGACATGCAGAATGATGCATGAGATGTTTTAATTTATTTTGTTTGAGGAGGAAAAAAAATTATCTAAATATGCTACAAAATACCCTAAGAATATGATAAATACTTCATGCAATCATTAATACATGCCAAATGCATGCAAATGTAATAGTAGAGTCTAATTCACCCTAAGAGAGAGAAACATGAATATGTACATAAAATTAAACTCTAGGATTATAAAGCCGAACTCCTAAGTTTTTTATAGAAGTGAATAAATTTGAAAGTTTTTACGTGCCACATAGGGACATTTATAACCCTTTTGAAGGTCACACTTCTACCCAAAATTTAAACAAATAGCTAGGAAGAAATAAGGTAAATGATTTTTTATTCTTTTCCTTTATTTTTTAAAAAAGTGGTTCATTTAAAACATTATGGTTAAAACTTCAAATCAACCCAAAATTTTTTTTTATTAAAAAAAATATGCCATGAATGACATAACAACCCACATAAAATGCAATATGAATATGATGTGAAGTTATGTACTAATGAATCCTAGAGGATAATGACCCCTAAATCTTCCATATACTTTGGCAGTATGGTCAATTTGAGTAGAGAATTTCATGTGCCTGCACGGGAACAGAAATTCCACTACTCAGTCTCCGATCTAATCTTAAAGGTAAAGCCGGGGTAGGAGGCTTGTGGATTTGTGTGAAATGCATAATGATGCAAAAATAAAAGCCAATAATTAAAAGACAATATATGCAATAAAAAATGGACCAAAATATTTTATAACGGATAATAAATGACAAAATAATGAATTGACTCTCAATGTCCCCAGTAGAGTCGTCAAGTAGCTGTAGACAACGTATTTGGTCCGACTGATTTTTAATTTTAATTTATATTATTGTATTTTACTTTATTAAGTTTTATTTTAATTAAAAAATAACATAAGCTTACTTTATTATTAGTTTTAATATAAAGTTTAAATTAACTTAAATTAAAAAGGTTAGATTTATTTAAATGTTTAATTTTATTAATAAGAAAATAAAAAAATGGTTTTGTTTAGATTTTGTTTTATTATTAAAATAAAAAAATAGATAAATAAAAATGATTTGTTTTTGAGTAAATAATTTTATTTTAAAAAGATTTTGTATTAATTAAATAAAGATTTTATTTTAACAAAACGTTTGATTTTTAACAGTTCTTTCCTCTTTGATTTTTTCCTTGTCAATGCCACGTAAGTGGCATCTTCTCCTTCCTTTCCTTTCCCTCTTTTCTCTAACCATTCCATTGTTACCATTGGAGCATCGTGTATTTAAAGGACACACACAGAGACACAGGCACAACACAGAGAGTTAGAAAAAAAAAAAGAGTCAACCCTGGTTAAAGTTTTTTTTAGGGAAAGTCACACACCTCTTAAATACCCACAATAATCCTCTCATCGTTTCTTCTTCTTTCCCTCTCTAAAACTCATTTTTTTCCTCCATAACCACCAATCCATCTCTTCTATGATCCTTTCCTATCTCAACACCACCACCTTTTCTCACGATGCCAGGGAATGGTAGGACCTACGACCTCGGACGATGCAAACGACACAGCAGCAACAGCTTTCTTCACAACTTCTTCCAAGCCTACTGGCACTCCGGCGATCTCCCTCCCGGTAGAGTTGTAAGAAAGAACTTTTTTTTAAATAAGGGAAAATTAGAAAAAATTGGTTTTGGAAATCATGTTTTAATTTGAAGCAGATCCTTTGTTTCTATAAAAAGGATTTTTTTTTTAGAAACAATGTTTTTTTTAATAAGAAAAAAGTTATTTTACTTTTTTGAAAAGAAAATGCTTTTAATAAGAAACCAATTTTTTTTAAAGATAAAAAAAAAATTCTAAATTAATTTTAAATAAGTTTTTGAAAAGAAAATAAGGATTTTGATATTTTAAAATTTGTTTTAAAATAAAAAAGTTTTTCTTTTTCTAATAAAGAAAGTTTTTTTAATAAATATAAAGTTAATTTTTTTTAAATAAAATATTTTACTTTAAAATCTTGGTTAAAATACGTTAAAAAAAAAGAGTTTTATAATATAAATCTTGTTTTAAAAAAATTTGGATTATTTTAAATTTCAATTCAAAGTTTAAAAGTTAGTTTTTATTTAAAATTTTTAACAAGGTTTACTTTTTTTTGTCAACTTTATTTTATTTTTTAATTAAAAAGAGTCTTCTTTAACTGTAGGATTTTAAAAAAGAAGAGATAAAAACAAAGTCTTTCAATAATAAAATCTATTTTTTTTTCTTTGGTTTGGTGGTTATGATTTTGAAAGGAATCTTAACCTAGAAAATCAGTTTTGAGTAAATTTGATCTTATTTTGTTAAATTTTGAAATAAAAATTTTTTCCTTTAAAGAATATCTTTAATTTTGAAATAAATAAAAGTTTTTTTTTTGTTTTAATTTAAGAAAATTCGTAAGTTTTTTTTAGTTTTAAAAAAGATAAAAGTTTTATTTTTGTAAAAGAATACAATGTTTACATGACCCAAGTTTGAATCATTGCATTTCTCAAAAAATGTTTGTTTTATTTTATAATTTTTTAAACATTGTTTTTACTAAATAATTATTTTACATAAAAGGTTTTTTTTCCTTTTTAAATGAATTTTTTTTCGCTTGTTTTTTAAACAAAATTCAAAACTAAAATGTTTGTATTTTAAAAAAGCAATTAAGTTGTATCCTTAGGTCTTGGCAGAGTGGTAAAAGCTTAGGGTATTGACAATCACAATAAAAATTCGAGTCTTTATGTGTGCCATTTTGTAGCGACAGAAAAATGACGTGATATTTTTAAAATGAGTTGAAACCCATAAATATTTTATTTAATTAAATTCAACTCATAAATATTTTATTTAATTAAAAAAATTGCGAAATTATAACAATGCGCTTCTTCTCTTGTCTTCCCTTCCTTCTTCCATTTATTTCTCTTGCATCGTGAGAGTTTTTATGAAATTAATAACATCATTTCTCACTTCCATTTTGTAAAACTAATTGCAACGCACCTTCCATTCGAACTATTATGGCCCTTTTCATTTTCTTTATTTATCTTTATTCTTGTTTTTTATTAGGATTAAATTACGTTTGGTTTGTTATTTTATTCTCTAACGAATTCTGTTGTATGATTTTACTCATTTTCCAGTTTATTCTCTAACTAATTTGGTTGTATTATTTTACTCAACTAATTCTGTTGTATTACTCTCTTTCACGTGTGTATATATATAACTAGAGAATGTGAATAAGATAACTCATCATTTCTCCACCAACTCCTGTCAATCGTGACTACTCCTATCACCGATCCACCGCCACCGTCTACTCCTGAATCTTCTTCAGATTTGAATCCGTCTTCTACTCCAGATGCGTCTTCTCATAGTCCGTATTATTTTCATCACAATGACACTGCCATTCTTGTTCTTGTTACAGAACTCCATACTGATGAAAACTACATTTCTTGGAGTCGTTCTATGCTGATCGCTCTTTCTATCAAGAATAAACTTGGTTTATTGATGGCACACTTCAGAAACCTACTGGTGATCTTTTGCCTTCGTGGATTCTGAATACTCACGTTGTGATTGCATGGATTTTGAACTCTGTTTCAAAATCGATCTCTGTTAGCCTCATTTTTTCTGATTCGACGCGCGATACATGGGTTGATCTGAAGGAACGTTTTCAGTGTAAGAACGGTCCTCGAATTTTCCAACTCAAGCGCGATTTAGCCACAATCAATCAAGATCAGCTTTCTGTTTCCATGTATTTCACACGATTGAAGAACATTTGGGATGAATACGCTACTTATCGACAAAGTTGTTCTTGTGGTAAATGCTCCTGTGGCGGTGTTAAATTGATCCAGGAATTCTTTCAGTTTGAGTATTTGATGAGTTTCCCCATGGGTCTGAATGAATCTTTTTCAGCTACACGCGCTCAAATTTACTCATGAATTCTTCTCCAACAATTAACAAGGCGTTTTCTCTTCTCTCTCAGGAGGAACAACAGCGGTCCATTCCTCTTTTTCCGACGCTTCTCCGGCTCTTTCTCTTGCCGTTGGCCAATCTTCTCGTGCTGCTTCATCTACTTCATAGCCTCCTATTACTCGATCGAGAAAGCCTCGTTCTATTTGCACGCATTGTGGTCTCTTAGGCCACACCATTGATGGATGCTACAAGTTACACGGATATCCCCCTGGATACCGCAAATGAGGTAATCAACGTACCACTTCTATGGTTCAGAGTACTGGTTCTTCTATGAATCTCAACACTACTCCTATGAATCAACCTGGCTTACAGTCAAATTCTGTCTCGGCATATACTGTGCATGCTAATGTTGTTCAGTCACCATCTTCTTCGAATTTGGTTTCTCCTAGAACGTCTAATGTTTTTGCTCAATGTCACAGTATGTTGCATCAATTGCAATCACAGTTTGCTGCTACAAAGACTAATTCTCCAAATTCTAGCTCCTCTTATATCGCAGGTACTTGCCCTAACATACACTTACCCACATCTTGTACTCATCGCTGGATTTTTGATTCTGGAGCATCAACACATATTTGTTTTTCTCGAGAATTGTTTCAATCTTTGTATCTGGTTTCAATTGCTGTGATTTTGCCTGATGGAACTCAGTTGCCTGTATCTTCTGCTGGGACTGTTATGCGTTTTAGATCTGTTATTCTAAAACATGTTCTTTATGTTCCTTAATTTTGTTACAATTTGCTTTCCATCAGTGCTCTCACCACGGATGCTTCTTTTGTTGTTCAGTTCTCTACTGATTTTTGTGATATTTAGGAAAGGTCCATTTTGAGGACAATTGGCAGGGGTAAGAATTATGATGGCCTTTATCTGCTTGAGATGCCTGCTACGGTTGCTGTCCAACCTTCTGTCTCGGTTCATGCTGTCATGGCTCGTGCATCCAGTGCTTTATGGCATTCCAGGCGTAGACATCCCTCTCACTCTCGTTTACATGCATCGAAGTCTGTGTTACCTTTTGTTGACTCTGATGTTTCACATGACCATTCTTGTGATATTTGTCCTCTTGCTAAACAGAAGAGGTTATCATTTAGTTCTAATAATCGTTTGTCAGCTACTGCTTTTGATCTTGTTCATGCTTTGGGGCCCCTTTGCTACCCCTTCTTATTCTAGTTATAAGTACTTTCTTACAATGGTTGATGATTGTACCATATACACTTGGGTTTATATGTTGCGGAGAAAATCTGATGTTTTGACTATTATACCACAGTTTTTTAAGTTGGTAGAGACTCAATATCATAAGCATGTTAAAGTCTTTCGATCTGATAATGCTCTTGAGCTAGCCTTTGAAGATTTTTTTCGTAATAAGGGTATTATTCATCAATTTTCTTGTGTTGCTCAACCTGAGCAAAATTTTGTTGTGGAATGAAAACGTCAGCATATTTTGAATGTTGCTAGAGCACTGTATTTTCATTCTCGAATACCTCTTATTTTTTTGGAGTGAATGCATTCTTACAGTTTTTTTCTTTATTAATTGAACCCATTCTCCTCTTTTGGACTGGAATGCTCCGTTCGCTCTTCTGACTGGTAATATTGCCGATTATTCATCCCTACGGGTTTTTGGATGCCTTTGTTATGCTTCCACATTACAGTCCCAACGTTCAAAATTTTCCCCGAGAGGCATTCCTACTGTTTTTGTTGGCTATCCTCCGGGAATGAAGGCTTATCGCCTCTTTGATATTGCTATTCGGAGGTTTTTTATCTCACGGGATGTCATCTTTCATGAGTCCACTTTTCCATTCCATAAAGTCAGTTGTGAAGGTGTTCTTCCTGATTTTTTACATGGGTTTGTTCTTCCCCGATAATTCAATGATACTAATGGGCTCCTATTTCCTACTGGTCCGATTAGAGCTCCTAATGAGCTGGCTGCTACTAGTCCCACTGAACTAAGTACTGCTGCTGACCCTATCGATACAGTGCCTAGTGTCACAGTTCCTGCTGTTGTGCCCAATATACATCTTGATGGTGGTGTTGCTTTTGATGTTGTGCCCACTGTTGATGTTGTGTCCCATTACACTTCTGATAATACTGTCGTTTCTGCTTTAGTTCCAGATAGTACAGTACCTCTTATTGTCGACCCATCCGCCTTCATTGTTGCGGATCCTATTGGTACCTCTTCCGATGATACTGTACCTATTGTCTAAGCTCCTGTTGAGTCTTCTACTTTGTCAGGTCCTTTAACTACTGGGGCACAGCCCCTCCGTTGGTCTACAAGGGAGTCTAAACAGCCCTCTTATCTTCAACATTATCACTGTAGCCTTGTTTCTCAAGCTCCATTACCTTTTTTAAACACCCGTTATCCCCTCCAAGATTTTATTTCCCACTCTACGCTTTCTCCTTCCTTTCGGGCTTTCTCCTTGGTTGTCTCTTCCTATTTTAAACCTCAATTTTACCATCAAGCTGTCCCTTTGCTCATTGGCAGGATGCCATGCGTGATGAATTGCTTGTCATGGAACATAATAATACTTGGAGCATTGTTTCTCTCCCTCCTGGGAAACATTTTATTGGGTGCAAATGGGTGTATAAAGTTAAGCACAAGGCTGATGGTTCGATTGATCCATACAAAACATGATTAGTTGCCAAGAGTTTTACTCAACAAGAAGGCCTTGATTTCATTGAGACCTTTTTTCCGGTTGCGAAGCTTGTTACGGTTCGAGTCTTCCTTACTATTGCTGTTTCTAAAAATTGGCCTATTCTTTAGTTGGATGTCAACAACGCCTTCTTGCATTGGGACCTCTTTGAAGAGGTTTATATGGACTTACCTTTAGGCTATAAGCCTCAGATTGCTGTTCCACCAAAGGGAGAGAGATTGGTCTGTCGTTTGAACAAATCTATCTATGGCTTAGAACAAGCCTCTAGACAGTGGTTTGCTAAGTTCTATACGGCTTTGTTTTCTTTTGGTTTTGTTCAATCTAAAGCTACTCTCTTTTTGTTCGGGGTTCTGGAAATCATTTTATTGCGCTTTTGTTGTATGTTGACGATATTATTATCACGGGTGCTTGTGCTTCTGATATTGTGCATCTACAGTCTCTTCTTAATTCTCAGTTTCTGTTTAAGGATTTGGGTTCTCTCAAATATTTCCTTGGCCTTGAAATTGCCCGTTCTCAGTCGGGTGTTTGTGTTTCGCAACGACATTACACTCTTCAGCTTCTTGAGGATGTCAGTCTTTTGGCTTGCAAACCTGCTCAAGTTCTTATGGATCCTTTGATCAAGCTTCAGTTTTCTGATGATGACTTGCTTCCAGATGCTTCTGTTTATTGACGACTTATTGGCAGGCTCTTATATTTGACTATATCACAACCGGAAATCACTTTTGCTGTTCACAAGTTAAGTCAATATGTTTCCATGCCTACTAAGTCCGATATGGCTGCAGCAAATCATCTTTTGCACTATTTGAAGAATGCCCCTAGGCAAGGCATTTTTCTTCCAGCTTCTTCTTCATTTCAGTTGAATGCTTTTGTTGACTCTGACTGGGCTTCTTGTCTCGACACATGGCGTTCTACTACGGGTTTTTGTGTATTTTTGGGTGATGCCTTAGTTTCTTAGAAATCTAAGAAGCAATCTACCATTTCTCGTTCTTTTGCTGAGGTAGAGTATCGTGCATTAACTGTTGCATCTTGTGAATTGGTGTGGCTTTCTCATCTTTTGGTTGATCTGCAAATCTCTTTTTCTCGGCCGACACTCTTGTTTTGTGATAATGAGTCTGCTGTACATATTACTTCTAATCTACTTTTTCATGAGCGAATAAAACACATTGAGTTAGATTGCCATTTTGTTCGTGATAAGATCGTTGATGGTTTTCTCAAATTGATGTCTGTCCGAACTCAACTAAAACTTGCAGATCTCTTCACCAAGCCTCTGCCTGCTGCTTCTTTCTTTTCTCTATTGTCCAAGATGAGTGTTTTAGACATCTACAACCCATCTTACAGGGGGAGTATTAGGATTAAATTACGTTTGGTTTGTTATTTTATTCTCTAACGAATTCTGTTGTATGATTTTACTCCCTTTCCAGTTTCTTCTCTAATTTGGTTGTATTATTTTACTCAACTAATTCTGTTGTATTACTCCATTTCACGTGTATATGTATGACTAGAGAATGTGAATAAGATAACTCATCATTTCTCCACCAACTTCTGTTTCAATATTTTTCGATTTTCTTCCTCTTCTCTTATTTTTCGGTTTCAATTTTCTCTCAATTCCTTACTCTTTATAAACGATTTTAGACACATAACCTCGTATTTACGCATAAATTTACCTAAGTACTAAAATAACTCTCATTTGGAGAGTTATTAGTTTGGAAATTCAATATTTTTCCTAATTGTAAATTAATTATTTGTGTGTTTTTACTCTCCATGCAGAATGCATTGTCTATTTGTGGTCTACGAGGTAAGTGGATTGAGGTAGCTACAATATACAAAGGTGGGGTTATGAGAGGTTCAGACGATGATGAAAAAATAACATATATTGACCTAGTAAATGCGTATATACTTAAGAAAATTGATCCTAACCAGTTTAAGATTGTTATACAATGTATTTATAAATTTAAACTGCAGTACGAAGTCTCTAACTACTTAATTTTTTATGATACTAGTTTGAGAGTCAATTTGAATGGTCCTCCAGATCCCTCTCAAGTGCCCTTGTTACATATTCGTCCTACTGAAAGGAACATATGGTAGTGGCAGCAACTGAAAAATATACATTTTTATTTGAAAACCCAAACATCGTCTTCATTCCTATACTGCCTAGGACAGAATGATCCATCTTTTAGCCCTTCAATTTATATTCACCCCTTATTACACGATGTTTCTACTCCCTCGTTTGTCCCACAAATAACACCACCATTTGACCGCCAACATGAAGATCACACTAAGGATGGGGCTGAGGACGAGGATGATCAGGCAGAGTCTGAGAATGAGGGTGAATATAGGTGTGACAATGAGAACGATGGTGATATTGATGATCGACCTGAAAATGAAGGTTAACCTATTTTTGAGTTGCATTCAGTAAGTACAAACGCACCTTGTCAAACTGTTGAGGGATTAGTTTCTTATATATCGTATAATATTATAACCAGTGATGTAGTGGATTATGTGGATGAAATTGCCGTGGGAGGTATTTTCTGTTCGAAGGTAGAGCTACGCTTCAAGTTGTTGGTGTTGGCGATGAAGCTGAATTTTGAATTTCGGGTAAAAAATCGACGAAAACTTTGTACACCGTTGGATGTATTGAGGTACAATTCAAATGAGGGTTGCGTGCGAATGTTATAAGAAATTGTGACTCATTCATCATTTCAAAGTATACCAATGTCCACAAATGCACACGTGAGTTACTAAACCATGACAACAGAGACAAGTTGGAAGTTAAGTGGTTGGTAAGTTATTTAAGTCAAATTTTGAGGATGTAAGCCATCAATACAAATCGAGAGACATTATTAACGACATGCAAAAGTATTATGAGGTCAATATTAGATATGGAAAGGCATGTCATGCGAAAGACGTAGCCTTGAATCTTCTTATGGGATCACCAAAAGATTCATATACATTGTTACACAAGTATGGAAAGGCTTTGAAGGCTATGAACGCAGATACTGTTTTAGAAATAAAACTGTCAGTATTTCTATTTCAAGTAGTGTTCATGGTCCTGGTGTTACGTTCCCACAACTGTGATGAATGCAAGTGCAAGTGTACACTATACTCATCGATTGTAGTACCAACGAGGTCGAATCCACAGAGACTAAGGATGTCACTTTAAGCATGCGTTCAAGGATACCAAAAATGCAAAGAAAAGATAATAAGCGGTTGTATAACTAAACTAAGGAAAATGCTATAAAAAGGTAGAAATAAAATCCAAGAGATAAATACTGTAATAACAGATGCTAGGGCAAGAAAAAGCTCTAGCACAAAAAGCGATAATGAAGGGTTAACAGATCTCGAAAAGGTAGGGGGGATTCAACATACTTTCATACGTTATCAACCTACCCTCTAGCTTACTAACATCTATTAATGTCCAGCTCGACTCGGTTCCCTTCCGAGACACCCCAAACGTGAGTAAGTACAACTTCCGTTGCTAAATACCCAAGCAATAAATGCAAGCTCTAGGCAAGATTAGGGGACCCCATTCCTAAGTATCCCTAAAGCTATAGAAAAGCGCTACCCACAAATAAGGCAAATCAACACTCATAAGCCCTCCTGGGTCAATACAGAAGCTAGCAAACACCG